TCGTAACCCTGTTGGGTATTTTAAATTATTGTGTAAGGAATGTAAATCCTAAAATCTATTATTTCGCTTTTGCCCTTAATTTATGATTTTATTTCTTTTTAAGTTCCGGGTCTTCACAAAAAAAAAATGAGAGTTTGAATTGCAGAGAGCAAGTCTATAGTTTGTTTTGTATACTTAGCTTGAATCTCAAGGTTGATACTTTAATATAATATTGGTAATTAGAATATTTGATTCATATAATATTAATATTTCCAAATTATGAACTACGCATGTTAACATTTTCCAATTAGTTAGTGCATTTCAATTTTTGTTTTTATCATCTATTAGATCTTTTAATAATGTAAGCAAATACCATATGTGTTAACTAAGAATGTAAAATATGTACTTGAAATTATTTTATACTCGCAGGAAAACCCTTAAGATCTTTGTTCGGGAGAAATTATTATAACTAAGGTTTTTATGTATGACTGTAGCACCCGGGGAAATTGAAGGAAAAAAAAAAACGTGTGTGCCACGTCAGCAGCCACGTCAGCAGGCCCAGTCAGCAGGCCTGGCCAACCAGGACCTGCCACGTGGCAAAACCACGTCGACCGGGAACGGGCCACGTTGGCGATCTGCGTGTGCGCGATCGGACGGCCCAGATCAATCGCGCGCACGGACGGTCCAGATTTAATCGCACGGACAGCCCAGATTTAATCAAAAACGGATGGCCCAGATTAAATCAAAATGGACGGCTGAGATCAAAAGGCAAAAGGGTATAAATAAGACCCCCACACCAGACCCCAAACCCTAGCCGCTTGCCCTCGCCGGAGAAGACGAACCAGAAGCCGGCCGCCGCCACCCGCCGCCGCACTGGAGGGATTTCTGACCGCCGATCGAGGTAAATTTCATACCTCCGACTCGTTTTTCCACGCTGATTTCCCCAGTGGCCAAATTGGAGCCAAATCCTGGCCAAACGGCCGAAAAACACGGCCGAAAGCCAGCGGCGCCGTCGCGCCCCTTCTCGGTTTTTGCCTCCGATGAGGCCCTTCCCGGCCTCCGTTTAATGCAATTTTTATACCACCGTGATCACCATTCTTTTCTCTACAGGTTGATCGGAGCCGAATCACAAACAGAATTCACCGGAGAGCCGCCGCACCCGAGAG